CTGGGGGCGCGCAGAGCCCGGGGGAGGGCTGTGGGGAGGGGGGAGGTGGGGGTCCCTGAGGCCGGGGAGCCCCAGTGCTGTCTGAGGCCTGCAGCCTCCTCCCCAGGACCACTGCTCCAGCGTGGGACAAGTGTCAGAGGGAGCCCTGCAGGTCCCAGCTCTGCCTGGTGACAGGTGATGCTGCCCAGCCCCGCTCCTCACTGGTCCTCACTGGGACTCCCAGTCCCGGCACTGGGCAGGAGCGGGTGATACCCCGAACTGGCAGAGTCGGGCTCGCTCGGGGGTCCCCGCACATTTGTAGTCTCTGCTGTGAGCAGTGATGGAGAGCGTTCGTGTGCTGGGAGCTGGGGCCGTGCTGGTGGCACTGGTGGTGCTGGGAGCCCATGGGGCTGGTGGCGAGGAGGCCTCAGGTGAGCTTAGAGCCATGGGGTGGGAGGGTGTGGGTGGGGAGGGGTCCCACACGTGCCCTGGGAGGTGCTGGGGGTGGTTATGGTGAGGACAGCACCCTGCTGCCCCCGGGACCACCCTACAGGTGGCTGAGGGCTGTCCCAACAGCTCCCTTGTCCAGTTATCTGTCCTCTGCAGGACCAGGGTGCAGTGGGCTCCAGGTGAGACCAGTTCCCAAATTGGGAATAGCAGAGATGCCCCTTCCCCCTTGGCGACCCCAAGGGACAGCCTCCTGGCTCCATTCTGCCCTGGCTCCCTCCTGCGTCCTCCCTTCCCTTGTGCTCTGTCCCTGCAGTCACCCTTCTCATGTCCCCTCCTGCCCCCCACCTCTGGGTGACAGTGTCCCCTCCCCACAACACCCCTCGGGTCCCCTCTGCCTCTCCCCCGTCCCCAGGCTGAGAAACTGAGTCCTCACAGTGTCAGACTCACACCCCCCTGCCCGATCGCAGCCCCTGTGGCTGTGGGGGAGGCTGAGAGGAGAGTGTTGATGGGGAGGGGGGTGCAGGGTGCTTCCCCCCCTTCCCTGCCCTCCCTGGGGTGCTGAGGGCACCTGGGGAGGGGCAGCCAGGAAGCCTGACCTGTCCCTGCACAAACAGGGTTTTTCCAGGAGCTGTCTTACTCTGAATGTTATTACCTCAACGGCACCGAGCAGGTGAGGTTTGTGGAGACGTACATCCACAACCGGGAGCAGTGGCTGCACTTCGACAGCGATGTGGGGCACTATGTGGCTGACACCCCCCTGGGGAAGCCTGATGCCGACTACTGGAACAGCCAGCCGGACCTCCTGGAGCAAAAACGGGGTGAGGTGGACACGTTCTGCCGGTACAACTACCAGATTGATAAACATCTCGCAGTGGAGAGGAGAGGTGAGCGTGTGGCAGAACATTTCTCCAGGGGATGGGCACAAGCCAAGGCCCGGGCAGTCCCTGCACCCATCCATGGGGATGTGAGTCCCTTGCAACAGTCCCCCTGGGGACGTCCTGCATGGGGTGCTCCCCAAGACCCTCCCCAGCCCACTCTTTCTCTCCCCCAGATCAGCCCGAGGTGGAAATCTACCCGGAGCAGTCGGGCTCCCTGCCCCAGACCAACAGGCTGGTTTGCGCCGTGATGGATTTCTACCCGGCAGAGATCGAGGTGAAGTGGTTGAGGAACGGGCAGGAGGAGACGGAGCACGTGGTGTCCACGGAGGTGATGCAGAACGGGGACTGGACCTACCAGGTGCTGGTGATGCTGGAAACCACCCCGCAGCGCGGGGACACCTACACCTGCCACGTGGAGCACGTCAGCCTGCAGCACCCCGTCACCCTGCACTGGGGTAAGGCTGGGGGTGTCACCCTGAGCGGGGAGGGGGGTGCGACCCCCTGATTCGGGTGGGGAGGGGGCTGGAGCCCCCCAGGCCTGACCCCCCCTTCTCATCCCCGCAGAGCTGCAGTCGGACGGCGCCAGGAGCAAGATGCTGACGGGGGTGGGGGGCTTCGTGCTGGGGTTCATCTTCCTGGCGCTGGGGCTCTTCCTCTACGTACGCAAGAAGGTGAGGGGCCGGGAGACTTTGGGGGGGTGAGGGGGGGTCTCCTCGGGGATGGGGGGTGTCCCTTTCCCTGCTCCGACCCTGACCTTGTCTCTCATCCTTCCAGGGCGCCGCGTTCCCCAGGCTGCAGGTAACGTCTGTCCTTCCATCTCCCCAAAACCTGGTTCCCTGCCCCCAGTGTGGGCTGGTCCCCCCCTGCTCCCAGGGACACCGTGTCCCCCGGTAGCAGCGGGGCAGAGCCCTGGGGACACGCCGTCCCCCACCCCGGTGCTCACCCCCCTCTTCTCTCCCCACAGGGCTCCTGAACCAACTCCTGCCCCTGCACATCTGCTCCGCCATCGCCAGCTGTCCTCTGCCCCCC